TTTTTTTTTTTTTTTTCTGCCTGGGGGAGCAAGGCTGAGGGTGCAGAACTGTCCAGAACTGTCCCTGGGTACTTACAAACTCATTGCTCTTTTTGTACATGTTGTCCTCCAAATGGCACTTGCCATCATTGGGGGTCAGAATGGCCCCGAGCTTGCCATCACCAGCGAAGTGGAAGCCATCATCAGTAGCATACACCAGCAAGCGGGTCACATTGCGCCAGCCGATCAAGTCCTGCAAGCGACATGAAGACGTGACCCTGAGTGGGGCTGGGAGGACAGTGCCAGTGGGCATGGTAAAATCCTTGCCAAAGCACAGCAAGTCTTGTGTTGGCCACGGTGTGGGGCAGGGGGCACGGAAGAAGGGGGTTGCAGGAGATCAGGGTCAGGAGGCTGGGGTAAGATGCTCTCATATACCCCCCCAGAGTAACTGGCCCGGTGCTGAATCGAGACTTCCATGCAATGGGCTTCCAGAGCCCACCTGGAGAGGGGTAGAGCCACATCCTGAGGGATGGTGTATGAGCATGGATTGCAGCCCCCACACCTGCCCACATCAGGGGGGTGCGGGTACTCACCCCGCACACTGCTGCCTGCATCATGGCATCCAGCCCTCCCTCTGGAGCATCCAGGTTCCCCGAGATAAACTGCTTCCCCACTTCGCTCTCAAACTGCTTGGCATCGTCAGTCAATGAGAGGATGTGCTTGAAGGCAAAGGGAGGCTGGCAATGCTTGTCCTTGTTGGGGCAGGGGTTCTGCAGCTTTTCAGGGTGCGTGTTCACGAAGGGCAGCACTGTCTTGTCCACGAAGCAGCCAAACCCTAGGGCATCCAGGACCATAGCATCAGAGGCAGGAGCAGGCAGGGACCAGCAGGCATCCCTGCAGCACAGGGGATGAACAATCTGCTGACCCCCATGTAAGTGTCCACGTCCCTTGCCCCAGCACACTCTCCAGCCTGGCCGAGGATGGGTCACGCTGCACGTTACCTGCATCCTGCTCCAGCCCTGTGGCTCTTCCTGGCAGCGAATAGCTGTGCCAGGATCCAGTGCCAGAGACAGGCTCACCTATGCGGCGAGATGATGTGGTGCTCTCCAGTGCCCTGAGCAGCTCCCCTCCCAGCTTCTTCACCTTCTCCAGGTCATCCAGCATGGAGTAGGAGAGGTCCATGAGGTAGTAGAGATCAATGGGGTACCCCATGGCGCGGCGAAACTTCACCTTAAATTCAGCTGGCTGACCTGCGGGACCGGGATGCCGGGATCAGCTGCTACGCTGTGGCTCACATTTCGCCCCATCACCCACCCTTCTCCTGCCCCTCGCTGGGATCTTCCTCTCTTTTGGAAAAAAAGAGGGAGGAAATGTGGGCTGTGATGTGCCCTGCGTTTTGACTGAGCCTGGGGGCAGAGGGAAGGGTGTTGGGAACGCCAGGCAGACCATACCTATCCTCAGTTTCAGGTGCACCTCCTGGGGAGTCAGCTGTATGTCATTGCTTAAGGGACTGTTCTGCGTCTCTGTAATGTTGTTGACTGGAAACTCAATCTCATCTTGTGGACATCCCCTCTGCTTCAGCTGCTCGGTGGTGTCGCAACGGATGGAGTCTGGCTCACCAGCTTTAGTGAAATTCTGCATGTTGCCACATCAGCAGGAAAAAATCAGAGGTGCACAAGGAACAGGCTCATTACAAGATCACCCAGCTCACAAACCAGATCACAGAATCACAGAATCTTCTAGGTTGGAAGGGACCTTAAAGATCATCTTGTCCAACCGTCAACCCAACTGACAAAAATAGACACCCACACAACAAACAAGGAGCATCATCACTAAACCATACCTCCCAGCACTACATCAACCCGTCTTTTGAACACCTCCAGGGTATTGATGGAGAAAGGAAGGTTGAAGGGTCCTGTCTGTCAGATCCCTCCTGGTCCCATCCACCATGCAGGACATGAAGCACTCCCACAATGCAGACTCCCCTCCCACCACAGGCAGAGCTGGATGGGCAGGGTGACCTCCCTGCTACCTGTTAGCTGACTTCTGGGGGCTGACAGCACGAGAGGTTATGTGGACCTACCGGCTTCTTGCACCAGGCGCAGCCGGGACCGGACTGGATGCAGTCCTTGCACGTCCCCACCTTGATCTTGGGGCACTCCATGGCAAAGGCTGAAACAGAGAGAAGACAGAGTTGGCATGGTGGGGACTGAGACCAGTCTGCAGTGGTGGCAGCCATGGGGTGCTTTGACACACAGCACCGGGCACCCATGCTGTCCTGAGCCCACCCTGCCCATAAAACCCACACTGGGAGCCCTGGCAGGGATCTCACCTGTCTCACTGACCTTCAGCTGGGCTGGCTTGAATTGACTCCAGACCCCAGGAAATGCAGGATCTGGCATTTGCATGTCTCTCAATGCCATGTTCCCACCGCTGTTGAGCAGTATTTGGGTCCCTCCCCTGCTTCCCTGCCCGTGTAAGGTGCCAGGGGAAAGGCAGCGGGGAAGGGCAGGTCAGGCTCACCTGTCATCACCAGCAGCAGCAGCCAGGTCACCACCGGCAGCTGGAGGCAGCAGTCACTCGACATTTTCTGCAGGACAAAAAGCCTCCCTGTGACCATCTGGTGCATGGCAGCTGCAGGCAAGGGAGCCCTTGAACCCTATAGGAAGTGACTATAGAGAAGGGGCATGTGCCCTTCCCGCAGCCGTCTCACCGCAAGGCAGATCCCGAGAGCATGACTCTGCTGCAGCCCTGGGGTCAGGGCAGCCACCCTGGGTGCATGGGCTGACTCAGGATGGGCGCTGGTGTGCTTCTACCAAAATAAGTTGGTTTCCAATAAACATAGCTTTTGGACTAAATGTGGAAGTCCGCAGAGCAGGAACTAACTTGCAGCGTATTGCTATGCATTCTGCTGAACTGATGCAAAGCTTGACATAGTGTTTATCCAGACTCTTTAACCTACATGATTATACCTACAGGACATTGGAAAATGTCAAGCACTGCATTTAGTTTTTACTAGATGTGAGCTTTTTCAGCTTCAGTGTCAAGCTATATTTGTATGGAAATTGGAATCAACATTTACAAAAGGACTATTTCTATTAATTAACTAGCAAGGTACACTGGATACATGGGGAAAAAAAGTCTATTACCACTTTACATTTAGCTGTTTCATCAAGGAAATGAAGTATTTCATGTAGTGAATTACTATAAGTTTTCCTGTTGAGGGTTTCCAACAGGCAAGGGTTTCCAACATCACGGCATGGGTGACTGACATCCTAGGAGAGTCACAGTCCCATCTCTGAGGGGAGTGGAGGGCCTGGCTTGCACTGTGTGCTGAGGTCCAGCCTGTCGGTGTGGCAACCACCAGGCTGGCTCTTGTACAATGTGCAGGTCAAATAAGAAGGACAGGGTGTTGGAATCAGACCCGCATGGGGAGGGGAGCCAGGACGTGATGCCATGGGTGGGGGTTCTGACCCCAGGGCTGGTGAGGTGGCTGCACATTTCTTACTGGCATTCAGGGAAGGTCTCCCAGTACATTATTCAAACCCCACAAGCACTTGCTATCCTCAGTTACACCAGCATTTCAGAGCGTGACAGAGACTGTTCACTAGCCAATTCTCACATGGCTTTTCCTTGCTGTTCACACTACTCACTTCTCGCCCCAAAGCATATCTCCTGATCCTAGAAATTTATGCCATCCATCAAGTTGGCTAAATCACTCTCAGGGAGTGGTTTTTCACTGTCCTTCCCATGGTGTCAGTGAGATCATGTTCATTAATGCCGTCATTTCTTCTAACGCCTTTCCCTGGGCACTGCCCTGGACCAAAACCCAGCAGAGTCACAGCCTTGCAACACTGACACACATGGGGAAGTGAGAAAAGAGGAATTTGTTAAAAGAGGAAAAAGGAATAAGAAAGCACAAAGGAACAGCAAACATTTCCCTTTTTTAGCAACACAGCATCCAAAAAATGGGTCATTTGTTTTGAAATAGTTCTGACACTGCCCTGAGCAAGAAAACAACCGGCTCCATCACCCCTGCTTGTGAATCTACCAAATTAACAGCTCACAGTCAAATGCAAATGAGAAATCAACAGAAACCTTCAAAAGGCACTGGGGCCAGGTTAATACATAGGGCAGCTCAGATCCTCTTCTGAGATGTCAGGATGTCCTTTCTTACCTTGTCAGCCTCTGTAAGACACCAGACAAGCAAGGGATGACACTGATCAGCCTTGAAAGAAGGTCTGCTCTCCTCCTGTGGACAGAAAGAAAGTCTAGGTAGGTCGATGGGTGTCAGTTCAGTGGTATGTGCACAATGACGTTTGGTGCCCAGCCGTAGTACGGACTTTGAGATATGGCAGGATTGCTAAGGAGTCACCTGGATCCAAAGGTTTGCAGCCTTGGGAAACCCACCCTGCCCTGGAGCCAGCCTCCCTGCCAGAGCTCCAGCAGCCTTGCCACCACAGGAGGCAACAAGAGGCACCTCCGTGGTCACCCAGTCAAAACCTCACAGTGATGTGGCCCAGGAGCTCATTCCGTCCTGTCGGGTCCAAGACCATCCTGTGGTGGATGGACAGAGCCCTCCCTCAAAAGACATCCTCCACAAGTCCCTCTCAACCACCACAGTTCACCTTGGTAAGTCTTTAAGGGTGTTGCTTAATGGTCACAGCTTATCATCACATCCCATCCTGTGTGACCCGCACTTGCTGTGCTTAGCTGGACCAACACATTTTTGTCACCTCCAAATACGGCCAGCAGCATTTGAGCTTGCAGACAACAGGTAAAAACTCTTAAAGTATAACAAAAGAAAAAGGTCTTAACAGTAAAACCTTTTAACAAGGCGGGGTGGGCACCAGATCCCTGCTGGACCCTCCTGGGACCACCTTTGGAAAGTACTAGGATCACTCGGTACTTTGGTCGCTCAGTTGGGCTGTGGCTCCCTGTGCCCAGGCTGTGCCTGCCAACCTGTGCCAGCCCGACCTGAGAGGTCCTCCAAGAGCAACATCACACTCCTAGGCATGGCTGCCTCCATCATGACCACATTTACTGTACTCCTAGCTGTATTCACGCTCTTCATTTGTTACTGATTGCCGCATGTTCCTATTTAATTAGCTATCAGTATCCGTGGGGATACTGAAAATAGCATGAGCTCATATTTCTGCAAACCCTCCCAAAAAACAGAGCCAGAGAAACAGGCTCTTGCCCAGTGACAGCTGCCACTGCTGGTAGGAGTTAAGAGCCACACCAACCCTTGTTTCCTGTAGCACTCAGCTGATCAACACCCCAAAAGTGCCTAATTAGGCTCCAGCTCTTCTACAAGCTAGAGGCGCTCACACAGGCTCTGGGGACCAAACCCATGGGCTGGATGAGCTCCTACCATCCCACCTGCCCAATGTTTCCAAGTGTTTAACTTCTGCTGCTAGGCCAAAGTGTGGGATGGTGATGGGGTGGACCGAGGCTCAGCGACTTCCTCATGCTTGCTGGAGGGTAGAGGTTCCTGCTTACAGGCTCATCTCATAAAATAAGGCAAGTTTCCAATTAAAATTGGATTTAAAAAAGCTCCCAAACCTCATAAATAAGGTGGGAACCTCAACACATGCCCAGCTCTAGCTGCTACTGAGTTTTGTAATGTAGAGTTTATTTTGCGGGCTGGATGCCTTTCTAATCCACAAAGTCGTTTCTTTCCCCCGCCACAAGAATGTAAAGCACATCCTGATACTAGGGGAGAGCAGCAGCAGAAAGCTCACTGCTTCTTTTCTTCTGCTGTGGAGGGAAATTATTCATGGGTATGTGGGTGGATAAGTGCGTATGTGACGTAGGGTGACTTTCAAAGAAGACAAATGGGGCTTCTGCTTTTGTTTGCCACCTCGTTTGGGGGAGGGGAAAGCAGGTTTTCAGTATGACTATCTGCATTAGCAAGGCCTGTGTAGGGCCTCAGCAGCATTTTCTCCAAGCCCCTTGGTGATCCGTTTGGCTCAATCCTGGACATGTACTGCCACGGCCAGTCCTGGGTGATCTTCTCCTGGGTGTGCTCTGCCCGGGATGTTGGGTATTTTTCCTCTTTTTCATGAATTAAGGCAAGCAGAGGGAGGTACACAGTCCATCCTCATGCCCTGGTGTGAAGGAGCAGAACTGCAGAGCTTTACAACCACCTTCACCCCAGGGTGGGGAGTGGGGTGCCATGGCTGAGCACACCAGCTAGGGGCAAGGCGCGTTGCCACCAGCCTCTGCTCCCTGGCCAGGGCTGTGTGGTGGCATCAGCACTGAGGGAAGAAGGCTGCAGCCCAGGACCAGGGTTCTCCTTGGCCCTGAGCTCTGATCTTCTGGCCACATGCCTTGGGTGGCTTAGGCCTGGGGCACTGCATCACCAAAAGCCCTTTGCAGAAGCCACCAGGGTATTCCATCTATGGAGCATCTCTTGCTGGCTATACGTTATATACCTGGCATGGCTCAGGGAGAGCAAGATGCTCCTGAAGGGTCTACGAGCCATAAAATGTGAAGGTGGCCTTAGGAAAGGTGTGTGAAGAAAGGGCTGGGTGCTGTCCTGCGCGCAGGCAGGGAGCAGAGCTGGGGCACACCAGCCCCTCAGGGCACTGGATGTGCTGGGGGGTGTGAGCAGGATGGAGCAGGCTGCTGTGCAGCATGAAAGAGCGAGTTGGGATTTATAAATAGGCTTAATGTTGATGCTAGTGGCGATATCGTTGCTATAAATGAGCATTCAACAGAAGAGACGAGTCTTGCAGTCTGTTAGCCACAACTCCCCTTCAGTGCTTCGCTAACTCTATTTTCTTGCTAAACAGGAAAACATGCTCTTGGGCCCAGTATCCTCGGAGGATGTCTGGGGCATTTGCACCATCCACCCAAATCGGTGAGGTGGCACTGGTGTCACTGCTTGTGCCTTGGTGCTCCTGGGTGCTTCCTCCATGCTCCTAAGCATCCCTGGTGCCACATCACCATCACGCTGTGACAGAGATGCTGGGCATTGCACCCAACAGCACTGCTCCTCCCCCACCATCACTCTGGGTGCCCCAGGCCTCGCGCACGGGTGGTAAACAAGCAGAGCAGGATAGAGCAAGGAAGGGACAGTAGATGTCCGTTGTGACCATTTCTTCTATCACTTGGTTGTGTGATGCAGGCAGTTCCCATCAAGGCAGATGGCCATTTATGGGGCTGCTGGCTGGCTAAGAACCTCTCCGTGCAGTGTGTGCGTATATACATTTTTTACATATATTTATATATATATACATTACAGAAAAAATATAAAATATATAAAAGTATTTTTATACATATATATAAAAGAATAAATATATTCATATATCCTATTATGGGAAATATGCATATATTTAATATATATTTCCTTCCAGTAGCCTCCCGTGCCTGCAGGGGATGGGTGTGTGGATTGAGCCCTCTCTCAAGTTCACCAAGGGCCTGCCCCGTGCTGTCCCTTTGTTCTGGGTGCCGAGGTTCCTGGGTACCCATAGGACTCTTGCCCTGCCCTGGGAGGCTGTGGGTTCGTGCTGTTGGGGCTCCCTGGGTCAAAGCCCTGTTTGGGTGAGAAAGGGTTGCCCCACTGGCTGTCGTGCCCTGGATAGTCTGGGTCTTTAAAGAGCAGAGAAGCCATTTCTTGTGTCTGATGTCCAGTGGACATTGCCCCTTGGCCAATCCCAGTGGGGATGCTGTGATGGCTGATGGGTTTGCAGAGATGCGGGACAGAGTCCTGGGGCTGAGCAGGGACCCAGGACCAAGGTCACAGCCTGTCCCCAGGAGCTAAGAGAGCTCGTGTTTCATGGGAGCAAAGGAGGGATCCCTGATGACCACCAGCTCTGGGGTGACTCAAGTATGTCTCTCTCTGGGAAAATAAATCACCCTGCACTGTGCTTTCCAGCATGCCGAGATCCCATGCAACTGAAACCGCGCCAGGATGAGGACAGAAAAAGTGTAAAACCACCGTGTGAAGCAGGATGTGACAACTGTAACAGTGAAACACACTGTTTAAAGCCTTCCCACACCGCATACCAGCTTCTGTATCAGCCACGGGGCGCCATGCCTCTGTGAGTATTCACCTGTTCACTTGTCTCCTGCCTGGGAGGCTGCAAGCTGGGGCCATGGCATTGGAAAAGCATCAGAAACAGATGCCAGACGGCTTTCCCTGACACCTGGGGGTGTGCCCCACATTTTTCCTGCATCTGAGAGCCATGGAGATTTTGGGAAGGATGTGGTCTCCCCGGAGTTAGTTTGCCCACAGCCTCTGCTGCCTTCCCCGCCCATTGCCAGGCATTTTCAATGGTTGTCGGCAGAGTACTTGAAGGGTACAGCACACAGAGAGATGGAGGGGAGCAAGGGTCTCACCTGCCTTTCCTACCTCCTGTCCCAGGCCCGTAGGGGTGCAGGGACCTACAGGAAGGTCCCTGTGTCAGTGTGCTGGCACTGCACCGAGCCCCTCCCAGCAGCCGACCCCACCGCCCTCATGCCGTGGTTCCCTCTTTCTCTCTGAGCCATCACATCCTGCAGCCAGCGGTGAGTACTGTTATACATATATATAAAAGAATAAATATATTCATATATCCTATTATGGGAAATATGCATATATTTAATATATATTTCCTTCCAGTAGCCTCCCGTGCCTGCAGGGGATGGGTGTGTGGATTGAGCCCTCTCTCAAGTTCACCAAGGGCCTGCCCCGTGCTGTCCCTTTGTTCTGGGTGCCGAGGTTCCTGGGTACCCATAGGACTCTTGCCCTGCCCTGGGAGGCTGTGGGTTCGTGCTGTTGGGGCTCCCTGGGTCAAAGCCCTGTTTGGGTGAGAAAGGGTTGCCCCACTGGCTGTCGTGCCCTGGATAGTCTGGGTCTTTTATGAGCAGAGAAGCCATTTCTTGTGTCTGATGTCCAGTGGACATTGCCCCTTGGCCAATCCCAGTGGGGATGCTGTGATGGCTGATGGGTTTGCAGAGATGCGGGACAGAGTCCTGGGGCTGAGCAGGGACCCAGGACCAAGGTCACAGCCTGTCCCCAGGAGCTAAGAGAGCTCATGTTTCATGGGAGCAAAGGAGGGATCCCTGATGACCACCAGCTCTGGGGTGACTCAAGTATGTCTCTCTCTGGGAAAATAAATCACCCTGCACTGTGCTTTCCAGCATGCCGAGATCCCATGCAACTGAAACCGCGCCAGGATGAGGACAGAAAAAGTGTAAAACCACCGCGTGAAGCAGGATGTGACAACTGTAACAGTGAAACACACTGTTTAAAGCCTTCCCACACCGCATACCAGCTTCTGTATCAGCCATGGGGCGCCATGCCTCTGTGAGTATTCACCTGTTCACTCGTCTCCTGCCTGGGAGGCTGCAAGCTGGGGCCATGGCATTGGAAAAGCATCAGAAACAGATGCCAGACGGCTTTCCCTGACACCTGGGGGTGTGCCCCACATTTTTCCTGCATCTGAGAGCCATGGAGATTTTGGGAAGGATGTGGTCTCCCCGGAGTTAGTTTGCCCACAGCCTCTGCTGCCTTCCCCGCCCATTGCCAGGCATTTTCAATGGTTGTCGGCAGAGTACTTGAAGGGTACAGCACACAGAGAGATGGAGGGGAGCAAGGGTCTCACCCGCCTTTCCTACCTCCTGTCCCAGGCCCGTAGGGGTGCCGGGACCTACAGGAAGGTCCCTGTGTCAGTGTGCTGGCACTGCACCGAGCCCCTCCCAGCAGCCGACCCCACCGCCCTCATGCCGTGGTTCCCTCTTTCTCTCTGAGCCATCACATCCTGCAGCCAGCGGTGAGTACTGGTATGGGAACTGAGGAGGAAGAGGAGGGTCCCAGGGGGGGAACCAGCGCAGCCTCCAACCCTGGTGCCGGCCCGGCACGCAGCCAGTGCCGCTCTCCCCAGCGCCATGCGTGAGGGTGCAGGGGGAGCACGCTACACCTTCTACGCTCTTCTTTCCAGGCCCACGGGGCAGCAAGGAAGGGGTTGTGTGGGGTCCCAATAGCCACCTGAACCACCTCCAGTTCCTATGTCCAAAAGCAAAAACCTTACAGACCAGGCAAGCTGCCTCTGCAGAGGCTGTGCAGACTGACCGCCACGCCATGCCACATGTGGGAGAGACACCACGCCGAGCTCCCAGAAGCTCAAGTGGCAGGAAGTTAGATCAGGAATTATAAAACAAATTCACTGGAAACACCAGAGCTTACGAAACTGCCGTGTCGCCTGGCTGTCTCTCACCCCCCTCAAGAAAGGAAGAACAGAAGCAAAGGAAAGAGACATGCTGTCCTCACCTTGCATCAAGCCCTCTCCTCCGTCCTGGGTTTGGGCTCAGATGAAGACGGTCTCAACTTCTCAAGCTTAGCTGGGAAGAGCAGCCAGGCTTCGGGAGCTTTGTGATGCACCCCAATCCTTCCCTCCTGTTTCTGTCTTGCAGATGGCTGAGGCAGAAAGGAGGAAGTCAGAGCAGTGGTGGTGGGAGGGCGTGCTCTCTTCCCCAACACCCAGCCCCACTTGTGCTGGCCAAAGCCCTGCCAGAGCATCCTGTCCTGGGGGCTGGAGCTGATCTCCTTCCTGGGCTACACCAGTGGGTCTGCAGTCCTCCCACTGCACCCAGGAAATGGACCCTACCCAAAACCCACCCTTTTTCCCCACTTTTAATCTTTTGCAGCATCACTGGGGGCCAGCCCACTCCCCTAGCAGGCAAGTAATGTTGGTAGTGGGGGAAACTGGTTCCTTTGGGAGCTACCAGTAGCCCCTGGGTGTGGAGTAGATAGGGATCTGGCTCCCTTCAGACTCCGGATTGGGCTCTAACATTTTTTGTGTTGGGGTTCACTGCTGGTGTAGCGAGGCCTCCTCTCTTGGCAGAAGATGCCAGTGCCATTCTTGCTGCGGCATATCTCAGGGGTATGTAAGTTTTTCTTAAGCAGCCTTCAAATTCCGTTGTGCAGGCTGCAACAACTCCTCCCAATGCACCTGCACAGCATTTACCTGAACAGAAAGGAACTGGCTTCTGGCAGCTACCACTTAGTCTCTTTAGAGCACTAAATAATAATAATAAAGTAGTTTAGAAAAATGTACAGGATCATAGATTTTTAATAAAGATAATTAATGTGAAGCTTTTGTTAATTGCTTTGTAGGTTCCCCTTCCAGCAAGCTAACATGGAGTGACTACGGTGCATGATAAGACACTGATGCATTTCACCTGCTGCTGTCTTATGGTTATGGAACTGGGTTTATTTTTGCAGCAAGCAAAGAGAATCACAGTGCTAGCAGCAGATTTCTGAGCCCTAATGAGTGTTCCACGGGTTAGTGTCTTTATTAAAGACAACAGAGATCTGTGAGGATTTCATCACAGCTAGAAAGCATTGTAGCAATGCTTGCAGTGGGATGGGAGCATCAGAGCAGCTACCGCCTGGCTGGTGTGGGATACGGTGGGGATGGAGCCTCAGAAGGAGCCTGCTGGGAGCTGAGGTGTCCACCCCAGTTTGCTCAGAAAGCCCAGGTGGGTGCAGCTGGACTCTGCAGAGCAGCCCCCAGCCCTGGAGCAGGTGGGCTGGGGTGGGTAAAGCTGGTGGGACTTCCTGGCAGCATCGCTGGTTGCAGATCTGGGGGAAGGAAGTGTGCTCGACTGAGATGAGCTGCTGTAATTTTTCCTTTTTGTATTGCATAAGGTCCTTATCACACTGCTCTTTTCTATTTGATTATTTCATTGGGTTTGTCAAACCCCTCTGCTCCCACTGACAGGTTGAGGGAAGGGGGTGGGAGAGCTGGAGCAGTGGCAGCAGAGCGGGTATACCATGTGTCCTTGTAGCCCAAAGCTGAAGCTCGCTGGCATACTCCCCATTCCTCTCGAGCTGTTCCTCATGCTCTCTTGCAGCTTTGGCCTTGAGTGAACATCCACAACAAAGCACTGTTCCAGGGGACCCTTAACATCTTTTTTTCTCTGCCTCCAGCATATCAGTGCTTGGCCTGGTAGCTTGTTAGTCCTGGCTATTTGCTACATGCATTAGGCAATGAGCAGTTACGCTGTGTCTGTGCTTTCACAACAGCACACGGGACAAGATGTCCAAGCAGAAGCAAGCCAGGACTGGAGAGAGACAGCATTAGGATGCTGGTGTACAACTTCTCCTGCTTGCTACTCCCTGCAGCTGGCAAAACCCATACTTCTCTGGTGTGGGTTTCACCTGTATGAGGTTTTAATCTTTGATACTTCCTAGTCGGGGAACAACTTCAGTTTTTCAGAGGATGCCTTTTTGTTTCTACATTTTATTTCTCCTTGCTGCTGTTTAAGTCTGCTGTAGGTGAAGGGGGTGGGCATCCTTTGGAGACAGGTATGTGCTTAGTTGCAGTATGTGAATGTGTTGGATACTCCCCAACCTGACTGTAAGCATTTTAAGCTGTTAAACATTCCTTTATCTATTTCCTCTTAACCATCTTTATTCTTATTAGTTCCCCTTTTAAATTTTATTTTGACTAGAATGGGTTGTGTTTTCTCCGCCCCGCCCCCCGACTGTAGGACCATTATGATTTCTTGCAGGATGGTCTTGAGCAGCCCCGGGTGGGGAGCAGGGCATCCAGCTGGACGCTCCGAGTACTCCCACGCTGCCCACACCAATACACACTCATCAACCCCTCCATTGGGCAGGGGTGGCTGCCGCCCAGGGGATGGACTCATGATACTGGCCTGGGAGCAGCTTCGCTTCCTCCAGCCTCGCTCTTCTTGTCCTCTGGCACATCCTCGCTTGTCTGTCTGCAAGCCAGGGCTGAGCCAGGGACCTGGGGAAAAGGAAAAAAGAAGTTCAGTTGGCGTGAAGTACAAGGCAAGTGGTTTGCTTTGCTTTAAGAAACCAGTTACTGGTGAACACGACATTTGTCATTGTATTCTTTGAGGTTTCAAAAGCAGTGGAAAAATGCTACCCAGGGTAGCCCTGAAGCAAGGGAGGCGACGTGGGTTCCTGGGGCTGCTCCCCAGCATCAGGCCCTGGGACACACAGCTCAGAGGGGTATGGGGAGGGTAGAGAAAGGCCAGCTGGAAAACAAAGACGTGTCAACCACAGAACACCTGTCAGAGTTTTTTAAGAGCAAAACCATGGTGGCTCCCAAGGCTGGAGCTTTCCGTTCACCTGCGAGAGAGACACAGCTTTGCACTTCCCTCCCTCACGTGTGCGGTGAGGCGGAGCGAGGGCTGGGACGTTTTATCAGGATTCTCTGCCCAGGTCTGTGACCACAAGGTCAAACACGTGCTTGGGCTCCACGGGGGCTCATGAGGTATTTTTTGCTCGTATAACTATGGAAATAATTTCTGGCAGGGAGTTTCAGAGTTCATTTTTCCATCCTACCAGGACATCCCAGTCTCTGGCTAGTGCTACCGAGAGGCCTCGGCTCTTCCAGAGGAAAACACCAAACTCTGTGGCGCAGGTTCTCTGCGTTTAACCTAAGCACACCCAACGAACGCCCCCCGCTGTCTCCAGGAGCTGCCTTCGGCAGGCGGCCTGGCCCACGGCCGGCCTGAAGGCGACTGACCGCCCCCCCCCCCGCTGCAGAGCGCTGCCGTGTCAGACCCCACCGTCAGGCTCCAGAGCGACCAGCCCCACAGGGGGCTGGCTCTGCCCGTGGCGGGGAGGCTCCCCAGGGCCCCAGCCCCGCCGGAAGCACTCCTCCCCGCCGCCCCAGCGGTACTTGCCGGCAGAGCCCGCCCGGGCGGGGGCGTCCCCGGGGCGGGAGAGGCGCGGCAGGCCCGGGCCCGCCCCCTTCCGCCCGGCTCCGCCGCGCAGGCCGCCATGGTGGGGAAGGCCAAGCGCCCACGGCTCCACCGCGCCGCTCCCCG